TTAATTACTCAATTTCAAGCAAGCAATTTCAACTCCATTAAATGTCGCAATAAAAACTCAACGCAAAGGCAATACCGACAATTGCGAGAACAAAAAGCAGTTCAGGTTATTACCATAGCTATTTGGCTTAAACCTGAATAATATTATTTATGTACTCAATCGCACCAGAGGTCGATGCCGCCGATCTCACGCCGCCGCCGCGCCGTACGCCGATAGCATTTTAGGCGCCGCCGCCGCCGATAAAACCGATTTCCTATACCTTTAACATTGGGACGCCGCGCCGCGCCGCTGACGCCGCCGAAAAATCACCAAAAATTGGCGCCGCCGCCGCCGAAAATTGGTCGGCGTCGACCTCTGAATCGCACCTTCTAACCGCCATCCAATCCAACCGCGTTCATTTTTATAATTGTTTTATTTTCTCAATGCAGTATTTTTTTAGATCAATTGTAAATTCCTATACCTTCTAATTATCTGGTGAAGTAATAGAATCTGTTTATCATTCCCAAAGTTAGAACTCTCCTGTTTTATTCCTTTCTTTCCAAGTAGTTTTATCTCGTACATATCCTTAACCCTATAAACTCGGCTGTTAAAACCATCCATGCAAAGAGGAGTCCACCCATCCAAATATAAAATATCATCTGTACGTGGGAATATAACGATATCGGTGAATACTCTTTCTCCCCAAAAGAAATTCCTGCTTTATTTCCTATCAGAAATTCATTGTAAAGTCTTTGCCAATTCTCCACCAATTCCCAATACCGGTTAATTCCGGCCTGTCCTAAATGCTTCCAAACCAGTTGTAGCTCATTCTTCCAAAAGTGAAAACTTGCAAATAGGAAACGCCTAGTTGGATTATCGTCCAGGTTAAAGAGAAAACATCGAATTGTCCCATTACTAGTATCAAAAAACTTACCATTCCCTTTAATGTGCAGTAGTTCTTGTAGAATTTCGAAAATATCGAAACTCTTCAATCTCCGCATTACTTCGTAGTGGGAAGTTGAATGATAAGTGAAATTCCCCAGAACAAAATACACGTTTCCATTATCGTCGGATTTATAAGGGGAGGTGAAATTTATCCCCTTCTCTAAATTACGTCTAATCATAAAATCCGTATGCACCTGACCCCACTCTTTGAAACTTGTGTGAACCAACACCCGAAACCCGTTTGCATATAGAGAATCAATATCAAAAAATTTTTGTCGTGAAGGCATGACTAGAAAATCGCTAGTTATAATCCCAAAATAAACGTTGACCAGAATAAGTATATTTAGAGCAATTAATGATAAAAGTACTCGATTATTTTTAAGTTGACAGGATAAATATCCATTCAACAGAAATGTGTAATTGATACTGTCCAATAATATTTTGATAACGGTATAAATCTTGCGTTCGGGCTGTTTAACTAAAATATTGAAACTGCCTATTAAAAAACTAAAGATAAAGATGCTGTACCAAACCCAAGGTTGGAAGGGAGCGAGAAATATGTCCCACTTGGGTTCCAAAAACGAGTTGGTGACAAAAGTGCCCGAGACAGAAGTGCCCGCGACAAATGTGTCCCGACAAAAGTGCCCAGCGACAAGAGTGCCCACGACAAAAGTGCCTAGCGAAAAGAGTGCCCGCGACAAGTGTGCCCCACGACTAAAGTGTCCACGTATCATATGCGACGTATTAAATATAAAGCCAGTTGAAGTAATCTTTCCACTTATTACATGAGTTACAAGGTCAAATAGCACATTTTATTCATCAAGCTTAAATAAAAAATCATATAAAAATATTCCAGCTTAACAAAAAACATATTTAATAAACGGATCTTACTTAAAAGTAATTAATTTGAGTATTTAATTGGATGAATCAATACTTACAATTCATCTAAATCTGAGTTATTCAAGCTCATTTTTAAATAAAAATAATACTTTATACGTAAAACCTACAGTGCAGCTTTGCTTAGCCCGAGCCAGGGTTGGTCAGAAATCTCAATGTGAAGTTTTAACTTGATTAGACGATTTTTAAAAATCGCTATGGGTAGCCCCATAGGATCCCTCCACCTGAATTTTTTTTTCCAATTTCACTTCGTATTCTTTCATTAGAACTCATTACCAACCTCTATGCCAAAATTCAGCTTAATTGAGGGATTTTATAAAATCAGTATGGGTCACCCCACAGGGTACCTCTGGATAAAAATTTTCAAAATTGTACATTATAAACTCCCATTATAAGCTGTCATCGACTTCCATACCAAATTTCAGCTTAATTGGACGATTTTGAAAAATCAGTTTGGGTGACCCCATAGGGTCCCTCCAGATAAAAATTTTCCCAAATTCACTTCATATCTTTTCACTAGAAGCCATTAGTTACCTATGTACCAAATTTCAGCTTTCTACGACAATTTTGAAAATTTGATGCATAATAACCCCACCACCTACATGACCCCCACCGGTCAACCACTTGACCGATTTGGCTCATCTTCGAACTCGATTTGTCTTTTGGGTCGATATAGATGTGGTAAAAATTTCAAGTCGATCGCTTGAGTTTAAAGAGAGTTATCGTGTTGACAGACAGACGGACAGACGGACAGACATAACGGGTACATAAGCCCTGGCTCGGGCTAAAACGAATAATATGTCGTAGATTTGAATTCTAACCTTCAAATAACCAAAAAAGATACTATAATTTAAAAAATCACGAAAAATTTAAACGAAATAGACAAGTAAAATAAGAATTGCAAGTGTGTAATACTGGAACTTGCAGGTCTTCTGAAGACTGCTGTCGAGAAGTATGGCAAAGTTCTGAAGTTGGAATTCATTCGAGGAGTGGATTACTTTTAAATAAGATCCGTTTATTCCATATGTTTTTTGTTAAGCTGGAATATTTTTATATGATTTTTTATTTAAGCTTGATGAATAAAATGTGCTACTTGACCTTGTAACTCATGTAATAAGTGGAAAGATTACTTCAAATGGCTTTATATTTAATACGTCGCATATGATACATTGATACGTGGACACTTTAGTCGTGGGGCACTATTGTCACGGACACTCTTGTCGTGGGGCACACTTGTCGCGGGCACTTTTGTTGTGGGCACTCTTGTCGCTGGGCACTTTTGTCGGGACACATTTGTCGCGGGCACTTCTGTCTCGGGCACTTTTGTCGCCATCCCCCAAAAACCATGCAATATTCTCCACACAATAAATATATGTACGCCTCTCAATCGAATAGTACGAGAGATCTGCATTCACTTGAAAAATGAAATTAATATCTTCATCTCTCATTACATCAAAACTGACATATTTCGCTTGACTAGAAAGCATATTGGTTTCAGACAACTCATCAAATTCAACCGAAGGCAAAACATTAATTTTGCTAAAATTTAAATGATCTATCACAATTACTGTAAGGACGGAAAGGAAACGACAGTGGTTTACGTACTTTTCAACATCCCCCATTTTGAAGCATGGAAGTTTTACGGTATTCATAATACCGAAAAGGTCATCATAAAAGGCTTTATTTCGAATTGGATCCCTCTCGTTGTGTGCGTTGATTGTTTTGAACAATTCTTGCCCTTCGAGGAAACTCGAAAAGTCCAAGGGCAAAGCAATCTCAATGTTTTTTAAAGGATAGACATGTTTCTTCATGATTACGCTATAGGTTTGCCATGATGTTAAGTATTCGCTATCCAAGTTCGGATCGATGCCTTGGTTTATCAGCAATGTTGTAGTGATTCGCAAATTTTCAGGTTCCTCATCCTCCTTGAGTAGGATGTTGGTCAATTTGGTTTCGGTCGTTTTCCACAATTCCAGATTTGTAAAGAGTAACACAAAAACTGAGTTTCTTTGATTAAGAGCGTCACGTGAAGTTTGGATTGAGGAAAATGTTTCATTCCATGGTACATTGACGTAGTAGAAAATGTTGCTAGGATTACTAAATATATTTTTAATCTTGTTAAGCATTCTTAATTGATATAAATTTTGCAATATTCGTTACCTATTACGATGTAATTTTCCAATGAGGTCCAAATCATATTTTTCTTTTACCTTTGTAAAGTCTCCATACCAAAATAGTGTTGGATACTTTGTAAGAAACAGCGTAATTATTCGGATACTTTCTGCTTGATGGGGTTTTGCTGTTACAACTTCTTGAAAGCAAGGGAGATCGCAGAGAGATTTATTTATTTTTGAGACAGTAATCAGCCAGAAAACAAAATTATGCATTTTTGCGTGAATTTGGTGTCTAAAAATACAATATATTTATATCTGCAGGAAAGTGTCGTTAAACGTGACAGTAAGAATCCCACAAAATACCACGACCAGTATTGTATTGTATTGTATAAGGTTTTACATCAACTCGTAGTGACTCTAAGTCTTTTTCATACGAGGGATAGGGATGGCATCATTAACTGCTTCTATGCATGCCAAGCATACAGCTGAACAATTTAGACGTGGATAGTAGGAGAGGAAAGGGAGTAAATAAGAAAATGGGGATTGGATTGGAAGGATAGGTAGCTGGATGGTATGCTATGATAAGCAAACCACCATAGATTAAATATCTATGCAAATTAATGCCAGACCCATACAAATTCAATGTTTCAGTCTGTTCGAATCCAATTTTTGCTAAATACAACATCAAGAGGGGTCGAACCTACGGCCTTATGGTTATAGATATTATGATCTATCCCCTAGGCCAGGTAGACTGAGTTATTATTTCGTTCTATACTGGTTTAGCTTTTATAAATAATAAAGTTCCCAAATCATGCAAACATCAGTCTTATATTTTATTTACGGATGTTGCTATCGACTAAAATATTTTTTTAAATATTGAATCACGCAAATTCGTGTGGTTTCGATGTTGAAGAATTCATGTAGCACACATATGTTTATGATATATCTAATGGATATTATTCATTTCATTTCATATTCTGTGTACATTAATCTACTAGCGAATAAGCCCGTCTGACGCCGGTTATATGGGCAAGAAACTAAAGTAGTACGACTTTGTATCTCGTGTCTCATGTAGATGTGTATGAATCGTGCGTTTTATTTCACTTTACCCAGCAATTTTAATACTACAAGCACATGACTAAACGAATCGTATGTAGGCTAAATTCAAATCTCTAATCTATTCGCATTTCGAAGTGGGATGTAAATATAAAGTGTTTACATATATAATTCAACTATCACACGGCTAACACTTTTCCAAACTTGTCAATTCTCAATATATTTACAAAGTAGCATCACTTCAGTATTCACTATACACACCATAAGTACGGGCTAGCCATTGTTGACCGCCCCCTTCATACTCTTCCAGTGTAACTGAGTTGTCTTCATGCCTCTCTAAACATGAGAAGATCTCCTCGTTGCAAAATCTACAGTTCATCGCTACCGTTGATGTCTGTAGCATAAGCCATTTTTGACGTGGGTCTGTAGCATTGCAGGGTTTCAGGACAACGTTGGATCCCCTTCCCGTCGCCGTCATGCAGACTGATTTTCCTGGAGTAGTCTTCTTCTCATATTTTGTTAACGTCTCGTCTGAAGAATTAAACACCCAGGCGAACCGTGTCTCGTTAACGTTTCGCTCATGACTGTATTCAGTACGTATTACACCCGTGGATGACAGGCCTGTCAGGAAAATAGATCCATAGAAGGAGAACGTCACCGGTTCTGCATTACGAAGTGCGTGCTGAGCGTCTAGCACTGACGCAAAGGTGGTGGGCGTACCAAGAAGAAGTAGCAAAGTGATGAAGCTCATTTGGATTCAGATGCTGATAAAGAAATAACAAATTAAATTAGATTTTGTTTTTAATGGACAAATTATGTATGTAGTTGAAACCCATTTCACTGGTTTTAAGTTACTCATACGAAACTAATACATCTCTCAACTTGTTACTGTGGTTTCTAGGTGCAAAATTCTCGATATTCTTGTTAAGTTAAATGTAGTTAAACTTACATATTTCCGAGATTTACCTCAAAGTGGAAAAGTCAAGAAAGTTGTAAAATTTAATGCGTCTCTCGCAATCGTTTCGATTTATTTGTACCGGATTAACTCCAATATGCGGATTTTATACCTACGATTTTAACAAATTTGATCCACATTGCATTCTCAAGTATCAAAATTAACCTAGTATACACGAGTTCGAGACAATCACAGCTGTCCAATTGTATGGATTTATGGATTCAAAGAAGCAAAAATATTGGAATTAGGACGCGTCAAATATGTAATTTAATCTCTCTAACATACTCCAAGCGTTTCAGAACCATGGGGGAAGTTTGGCCCGATAACGTGACAAGATTACGTGGACGAGAGAAGTTATCAAGCATTAGAAGGTTCTAAATTTCTGTGGAGCTTTGTACCCAATGTCCCACGATTGACGCAGCACTATTGTCTAAGATATATGTACAACAACCTGACCTCCTTTCTGCGCATTATTGTTCCCCAGGAGCAGAAATTACATATAAAACAATTAAATCATTGGCTTCATTTCATATGATTTATTTAGCTTAAATAAATAATAATCCATTAATAAACAAAGCAACAGTGGTACATAACCGAGAGGCCGATATGAATAGATTCATTATTTGCAAAATTATGTATGTACACGAGATAAATATGAAGAATGGGAGTGAAAGGGCAGGATGATGAGTGTATTTATTCAGTATTGGCATAACAGCCAGCTTAATGGAGGAATGAAGCTGGATGTTTCTTACCTCCGCCTCTTACATGTTGGAAATCATGCACCTCTTTGATTTTGACCTGGTTTAAATTTTGGGATTCGAGCAAACGCAAAACGCAAAATTGTCTCGTGTTCAGTGGCAGAAAGAAGTGTAACTGGTAGTATTGATAAATATGTGAATGTGTTTACTAACTCCTTCACCACGTAAGTTAGCACATCCGCAAAATTATGTGCATTTACATATATACAGATACATACATATATAAATCAGTAGCACCCCAAGTTCAAGGTTGATCCAAGGGAATGGTAAGGAAAACTAGTGACTGCAGCATCATATAAAGTTGACCTTTGTATTAGATAATTTAATTTCAAATATGTATATGCTTAAAAAGAAGCCCTCCAGCAATAATGAGTGTCAAGTCTCACGGTAACTTGGACAAATCCCTTTATAAAACATTTTCATGTACATACATGTTTACTGTTGCTCTGGAAAGAGACCTATTGTAAAATGCATAATCAGTTAATTCTTTTGTTCTTCGACTGCATTATTGGTTTTTATTATTCTCTTGACAAATGTGCGTATCATAGATTTCATATGAATATCAATTTATATATAAAAAATATCGAAAATCTGACTGCATAGGAGTTGTACATTAAAAGCCCTAACCTTACAAAAAATCCGAAGAACTCACAAATCATTACACAAATCGTAGCACAAATCGTGGTAAAAAAAATCGTAGCACAATCACAAATACAATCTTCAACTGCAAGCATTTACATATGACTACACGGTGTCGAATAATTAGAATAAAATAAAACAAAATTACGACCATTATTTAATTTGGAGATCTTTGAAGGATACCAATTCTTAAAACTTAATTCAATCCTACTGCCCACATCAACTCATTGAGGGTTAATCGTTAAAGAGAACTTATTATAGAGGTTGATCGTGTGATTATACACCATTTCGTTGGCATTACCACCATAAACAAAATCAATATGGGAAAACGTTGGACTAGGAATTGTGTAATAATCGACCAGATTGGGTAAAACATTTGCAAGCCTTAGATACCCAAGAGAATTCGCGAACATGTCATTTCTAGCAAGTACCAAACTGATTGGAGATGTTATTAATTTTAAATTATATTCTGGAGGGTTCATGTTTCCATAAATTTTAAGGTTTTGTCTCTCCCCGTAATCGTAACAACCAAATCGATCCGTTATCATAAACTGGTTCAGGTGGAGGAGCATTTTTAGTGAGCTGGGTGTCATCAAGTGGCCAAGGACGCTTGGGGTTTGTTCATACATATGTTTAAATTATTAATTATGAAAACGAATATGTAAATAAGTGGTACAAAAAGGTTAAATTAAAGTGTGAGGTGTTTGTACATGTCATTTTTTTTACTAATTTTATCAGTAGTTTTGCCACAAAGGGCGAGAAATATGTAAGCGTAATCTGGATTTTCCATTTTGCATCTCTGAATACATACATTCACTGTTATAATAATAATAATCCGATTGATTCAGATACATAGATAGATCCATTTGATTGCATATTTATATGAGTATACACCGGCCCGTCATTATTTTATACGTACCACTTTTGCGAAAAACTCTCGTTTTTGGCCGGTGACAAATTTTCAAAGAAACACTGGATGTGTCGTTGGAAAGGTAGCAATAATTAAATTAAGAAAATATATACTTGTTGCCGTATTGGACCACCAAGGATATTTTAGAGATAAAAATAAAATATTGAGCTCCAGAATTTAACACAGCGAGAGATTGGAACTTTATATGGCGGGTATGGGAGGAAAAGTCTAAACTCTGGCAAAGTGTTTATTATTCTTTTACAAACCGTAATTCCGTCTGTTTTAAAACTTATGACCTATTTATAAAATTTGACAAAATGTGTCCTTCTAGTGGAAATTGAATTAATCTAAAAATATATATTTAAATTTATTAAAAATTAAGACTGCGACGAAAAAGTTCCCATTCATAAAATCGCACACCCTATTTCGGTTACGTATTATTAGCATCCAAAATTTAACAAAATCAGACACGTACACCTCACACTTTCGCATCCACTTACCCTGCTAATTTGAACGTATGTATTTAACACACCTGGAAATTGTTTGGTGTATGTCGGGTTAGGTGGCCAACACGAAACATAACGTAGACTTATCATGTCATGGTTATTGTTAGGTATGATACATATCATGCAGTCGAAGATTTATTCCGAAATGAAATATGTGCACAACAATATGTACCATGCAATAAAAACCATTGTTATCAAAATGGTTGCCCCAAGTTATTCCTCTTTCTCGACTACCTATCAAGGCCCCGTGACCAATATTTTATCTTTCTACATACTTATATAGAATGCATTGCATACAGTTTATATACAAATTGTATAAACTAAAATTCCATTCTTGATAAGAAAATAAATTAATGTTGGCGTTTGAAACGTTGTCATTGATATCAGCGAAAGACAGCTCCATCCAATATTATGTAAGTATACAGATAGGTAATTTCATCGTAAAATGGTCCATGTACGTGTCTGATTTCTGTCAGTTCAATCAATTCCACTTGATAAACTCCAGGCTCCGTCTAATCTATTGTAAATTTAATATTGATATAAGCTCAACTGCGAATGAACGTTAAAAGCGAGTTGAATGTTTTCAGATAAATACAAGTGATCAGGGTGTAGCGAATATTGCTTTTGTGATGCAATTAGATTTGTTAACAAAATATTTATCTACGAATTTAGAAATCAGTGTTTTTAACTTCTTGACAATCTAACAAGGAACCCTTCCAATGGTGTCCAACGACTTAAGGGTCGACACCTATACCAAAATGGGCACAATACATGACTTTTATCGTGAACTGACAGAATTTCCGTGTAAAATTCACTTTTCGTCATGTTGTGACGATATTTGTGGCGAGCGGAAGACCGTGCTGTCGCGACAGTGGTGACGGGGCCCTCACCCTCACCGGCACCGCAGCCAACCGCCCGTTACCCATGCGTTATTAGAAATGTTTTAAAATCTAACCTTAATTATTCTGATTCTCCACGAGGTTTTCCGTTGGGTGGTAGTGGTATTGAACAAAAAAATGTTCGAAACATAAATGGTGGTTACAATGTGCACAATTAATGAAACGTTCCAAAACACACAAATCCATCTCGCACTTATCATAGTCTGATGAAAAAAGCAGTTCCTTAACATTTTTAAACTCTTCTTTTTCAGTAGTGTATGTGCATGCATACCACGAATATTTAAACATTGGGATAAATATTTCAGATTGAAACTGGTTAAAAATTAGTGAGTGCATTTTTAAAACATTTTCCCTTTTGTGAATATCCAAATCCAATTCATCGAGAATAACTCTTTCGAAAATAATACGACGGAAAATTTTGTATTGACGAAATATGTACTTGTCCAGCGGCTGGATAAGTGATGTAGCCTTTGCAGGAATCTGTTCTCTTCGACAATTTTCACCCAAGGAAGCATACGTTTCACCGTCAATCTGGCCAGCCCACGAATCATAAATCAGCATGATGTGTCGGCCATCTGTCAAAGGTTGAATACAATCATCCACCCATTGTTTCATCATCTGCTTATCCATCTTGCCTGATTTTGAGACGGTTAAGTATATATTATCCGGAACCCATAAAGTTTCACTGATTCTTGGACCAAGCACCCCTTTCGGTTCTTGCAGACAAAGCAAGAATTTTCCAGTGAATTTGCCACTCATAGATAATAAGGGCATAATTGTGTACGAATGCGATTTTGCGTTTTGGGATACAACAAGTCCGAGAGTATCTTTTTCGCCTTTGTGCGACAGTGTTCTTCTTGGAGTATATTCGTACGAGAATCCAGATTGATCGAAATTGTAGACATGGTCAGGTTGTATTTGTGCCAGATTTTCATTAACTCTTTGAACAAATTCACACGCTTCATCCTCCACGCGACGGAAATTTTGTTGTTCAGTGGTTGTAAGATATTTGGTTATCTTTCTTCCTACGATCCTATTGCGCACCTTAAAATCGTGTACCCATTTTGGACTTGCTTTAAATTTTAGTTCGAATTCACGTGATTTTGTCAGGGCCCACCTTCTCAAATCTACCTCACTAACGTGGAGCATTGATAAACGAGCAGCTTTGAAACGATTTAGGACAAACTGTTCTACTTCTTTAAACAATTGAAAAGTGGTTTTTTTATCCTCAATATATTTGGTCATGATTAAATATTTTAAACTTTTTTATTGTTTTAGTGAAACAAAAATTTGACTTGGACCTTGGGTCAGATATTTATTTGCAAGATGACCAAGAAGCAGAAATTGACGAGGATGTGTTCCCGATCCTTGTTGAACAACCCGTTACTCCCAATATAGTTTTTTTTGTAAAGGGCGAAGTGGTGTTAGATCCAGTCTCTCCTGCGCCATCAATTATTTACGGTGGGTAATTTATCTATTTATAATTATCTCTGATTTGCAATTTCATGTACAATTTTCAGTGAGCAGCCCGGTTGGATCCAACACTAGTTTCAGAAGCAGTTCGTCGTCGAGTTTAGAGGGTGACAATTTTACACAGGTAGGAGGGATTATTTTTTACGGCTATTTAGCTAAATTTTGTTCTTAATTAACATAATAAATGCAGCAGCGACGGAAAGCGCGGAGATTTCTCGGTTAGTCGATGAATGCAATCAAAAAGGCTGCGTCGACAAAACTTCATCCACAATTTTAATTAATGCATTTGTAGGGAAATTAGTTGAAGTTAAAGGGTAAGCCACAAACAAATTTCCCAATTAATATTTAGTACAAAATATTTCGTCTTAGGCTATCTCCTTCAACTACCAACCAGAAACTAATTGCGGCAGCAATTATGATATTACTACCTCCCTATAGATATTCGAAGTCAGCCGACGTTTTAGCAAGTTAACGTCCAGCAATTTATTTATTACTGATTTTATTTATTGATTTATTTATGTGTATTTATTTATTAATATTTGACTACAATTTACTCATTATTTTCATATTAATTTGTAGATGACATGTTCTCCGAGGAATCTCCATATCCCCGAAATGCTTATCCCCAGAACGAATCTCGAAATGGGAACCATTTTTATGGAAGAGGACGCATAAGACGACGAGGGAGTTACAACAATCGAAGAGGAGCTAATTATGGGCACAATTCTAGTAGAAATTTAAGTAGACGACCATATCTTGGCACACAAAACGGCAGGGACTTCCGCAATGATGGAGCTCGAAAAATCTACCCCTACAATACCGGCAGTAACCAAACGTCCTATCGGGGACATAATTCTCGTGGTAATTTCAATGAACGATACTTTCACCACACGATTCCAGATGGTAAGAAGATGACAGCGAATGGAAATTCGACACGGAAGGAGGTAATTTCAGCTTTCACCTGAGGGGACGACGCCATTAAGTTAAGTGTAAAGTGTAAGAAAAGAAAATTTATAAATATGCAAAAGATTCTCCAATGTAAAGAACAACTTACAAAACAACAGAATAGCAAACTTTTAAAAATGTTTATTAGTTTCAAAAAACAAAATCTTTCAGTTCACAATCTAACAAATATAAAAATTCCAGGGTACATTTCATTTATTTTATCCTTCGGTCTTAATTTTTGTTTACTGAAACCATTTAGTTTTGAGAGGTTAAAAAACGATTTTAATGAAATACTACGAAAAATTAGTTGGGTAACTTTGTTTAAGCAAAGAAATGAAGAGTCAGTTTTATCAGATTTTGACAGATTGCTCATTAATATCAAAAAGTATATTTATCCATTAAAAATGTCTTGTCACATTCAAAATGATATTTTTCCAGACCTAAATATTACACAAAAATTTATGTATTTAATTAATAGGAAATACAAAAAGGAGAATTTCATTCCACCTGAAGTTCTAGTTAGATTTCAAGATTTTTTCATACAAAATAACTTGATTGTTAAAAACGCAGACAAAAACGCTGGTATATGCATTATGCATAAAACTGATTATGATAATGAGATTTTAAGGCAATTACACGATGAAAATATTTACCAACCTTCGACAAAATCACACTTTCATCAGCATATGGAAGAATTTACTGATAGATTAAAATGTATGAAGATTCAATTTAGTGATAAAAACAGTACAAAACTTACTAATTTGATTAATTTTAATTATAGGCCAGCAAATTTCTATATTTTGCCAAAAATTCATAAAGATTATGAAATATTTCCCGTTGGAAGACCAATTAGCAGCACTTGTAACACAATTAATAAATATTTATGTCAATTAGTTGATTATATTTTGAAACCAGTAATGACATTTATCCCAAATCTTGTGATTGATACGAGTCATTTATTACTTTTACTTGATAACCTAAATCTAAGACCTGATAGAAAATATGTTTTAATTACTTATGATATTTCAAGTATGTATACAAGTTTGAAGCTGAAAAATTGTAAAATGTTTTGTATTAGAGCTTATGAAATGTATAAAAAATATTTAAGTCTTCCATATAATTTTACATCTAAACAATTTAAAGAATTACTAGATTTATGTCTTGACTATAATCACTTAGAATTTAATAATTTTTATTACAAACAAGTGCAAGGGATTCAAATGGGAAACTCAGCGTCAGTCACAATTGCCAATATCACGGCGTTTTATGAATTACACTCAATGTTTAAAAATCATCTCGAAATAGTTTTTAACGCGAGATTTGTGGATGATGGACTATTAATAGTAAGATATATCAACAATTAACGATATTAATAGATGGTGTAACGAATTTTTTAATCACGAATATCTAAAATTTACTACAAAAGTAGATTTTAAATCGATTGAATTTTTAGATGTTCAATTGACAATTACAGAAGGGAACAAAATTATAACATCATTGTACACAAAGCCAATGGCTAAAAGTGTTTTTTTACATTACGAGTCGAATCATCCAAAATCTCTACTTCAATCATTACCACATAGTCAATCGTTACGTGTTAAAAAGATATGTTCAGATGCTAAGAAATGTGAAAAAGAAATCCAGGTGCTATTTGAAAAATTTATGAGCAGAGGATATCCTTTAAATTCATTAATTAAATTTAAACAAAAGGTCGATACTCTGAGTAGACACGATATTCTTAAACCCAAGACCCTACTTGTAATTAACCATTTAAAACAAAATAATCCAAATATTTTAGACAAGTTTACCCATGTCAATGCAAAAAGAGAAATAAGTATGCATGAAAAAACCTTTCTTGTGATGGATTTTTATAGAAATATGTATGGTTTTGAAAAATTATGTATAGATTTTATCAAAAACGAAGCAAGGAGAGATCAGAATATACAATATCAAGAAATAGTTAATAAGCTTAATTTTATTATGTCATGCAGAAAGATAAGCCAACTTGAAAAGTATTGCAGACAAGGTAAATAGTTACATATGTATGTATGTATGTCTCAGTTTTGACTCAACCAGTGGCGAAGTATGAACTAAAATAAAAAGCCCACAAATTTTATTTGTTAGAAAAATAAATTTAAAACTGTATCACAAATTAATAAAACCAAAGCAGGTAATTTACAATATTGATATATTATTTAGTAGACGTACTTAATCTTAATGGCGTGAATATAAGTGTATTTCCGGGGAAAGTGGGAAAGATTGTTTCTTAATTTCTTAATTTGATTTGATTTTCTATTGTAATTTTAATCTCTTAATTTAATTTGAATTCTTATCTTAGCTTATAAAAATAATTTATTGTCTAATTTCGCAGCCTGAAGAAGCTGTCAATACGGCGAAACCGGTCGCAGCTTTGCGAAATAAATCAAAAATTGACAAAATTCGTGTCTATTGGTTGGAAATGTTTTCTTCGCATAAACAAAGTTCCAATTCCTATCAGGGACTTGATTGTTCAAGGTTGGAAAGGGGACGAAAATGGTAAACTGTCGGAGAGAAAAGTTTTGGAAAAGTACAAAATCCCAAAGTCTGTACTGTGCTGTATAACTCGAGCGGTGATGCAAACCTTCTACAGTCAAAATGTGTTTAATTTTGCCAATCCTCACTCGCCAAGATTTCCCTATTTTGGGACCTTGTTGCACTTAAAATGTAACAATAAAATATTTGACAACTATTTACTTTTGAAATGTTATAACAAGAGAATGTAAGCCATAATGTCTACAGTGTATTTATAATACCCAAGTATTTATAATAAATAAATCAAATTTAAATACGCGATTACACCGCAACTGAGGTTTTTATTAGATTCATAGTATTTACCATATACAAATTAAATATCTGTGAACTGTGTATATTCATTTATTAATAATACATACCTCAAGTGCTTCTAGTGAGTTAGTAGAACACAATTTCTAAGCAATTGTTTAAATGTGAATATTAACATAAATCCTTTCGATTTTTTATTTTAGGTTTATTTAGCATCATTGACCAGGTTTATCTTTGTAAAGTTAAGGTGTATACAATCAATATCTTACATATCCCTTCCGTACATTGAACCAGTCGATTATGGTTGGCCCAATTAAAGGAGGCCAGATGACTAGTTTATGCATAGCAACTTGTGCCAGAATACACTCGCACTTACATATGTAATTAAGCATAATTACTTTACTACCCCAACATAATTATAATTATATAATAATGTCACATAGTTCTCCCATTGAGGTCTTATTTACTTCACGGTAAGTCTAGATCATAGATGTGCGGACAATCAGTGCCGTCCACAGTATCTGTGCCACAACATTTTGTGGGTGCCAGAGGACAAGCTGCCAGTGCCACTGATTTTTTCCCAGTGCCAGTACCAAACCTGGCAATAATACATTTATGACACCCAGTGTCAGACACTCGATGCCGTTCGAAGTGCCAGTGTCACTAGGTGCCGCTGGGTGTCGGTGGTCAAGGTCCAGGGCCACTAATTTGATCTGGGTGCCATTGGACAAAGTATAGGTGTCTGTTCTAAACACGTATCTATGGCCCATGTAATAATATCATATAGTTCTCCCATTACAGTTTTACTTACTTCAGCGTTAGTCCAGACTAAACCGTCTAAGTTCTCTTGTACATATTATCATGCACACGCAAACTAAAAATACTTACTGTAACATTCACACAATTGATAAAACATTAGCAATTTAAGTGTGGTTATTGTCTGCTCCACCGCAGCAACCAATTTTTTGAAAAAGACGACCAAAAGTTTCATCCCGATGACTAGTCGATTCACAGCTTGTCGACATTTACGGCCTATTGATCTAACCACTTCATAACTCAACCATTCCCACATGAAGCCCACTATCGCGGCACAAATTACACCACCACATAGCGCGACTACCTCCCCCAAAGCAGACATCGAAACTTGCTCGTCAAATACGATTTCTTTTCTTACTCTGAACAATTCTATAGTAACCATTTTTCGATATATTGACCTGTCTTGTACACTTATTTTCTTCAGCTCTTGCAGAAATTCATTTGCAGCATGCAAATGGCCCCAAAATTCGAACAAACCTGATTGAGCCAACTGACCAATACCAGCTGATATAAGAGAATACCATACTCCACGTCGAATACCTATCGGAGTATATAAAAAATATATTGGTGTATCCTTGCTCATTACGACATGTAGATCCCGGTTCAATTTTAGACCATCTAGCATTTCCTTCACTTCACGTTCCAAACTTAGTACTGCAAATGTTACTTCGCCATTATCTATATTAATATCAAATCCGAAGGACTTAGAAATATTTAGACCAGCCACGAACGGGGATACTTCACTGGCATTTACTCTCATCCTAATTTTGATTAATGTGCGCAAGCGATTCCCAGGAGATAGAATGATATAACGAAGACGAAAACTAAAACTGGAAAATTATGTAATATACGCCGAATACCAGAGGTTCCATGATATTGGCCGGAAAGACAACTTAGGATCCACTGCCAATATATTGTGAAGTATGCGATTAACTTTTTCAATCCTGGTTCCCTACTTTCTTTCAACCTACATAATTACTGAGATAAAAAGAGCAATGAGAATAAAACAAACCAGTGAAGCTACCCAGGTATACCAGTCAAGGGGCATAACTACACCTTGCAAACCTTCCAGCTTTGATTTCTTACTGGTTATCGTTGCTAATCTAAACTCATACCGCTGACTAAGATGTGGCAGCCAGGAGAAAGATGCATTCAAAGGGTACATGAATGACCCATTAATAAAACCCGAAGCTGGTGGTACCGCAAATATATAGTTAATTGTACCCTCTCTATCCCTCCCATTCGGACTCTTCACCTGACGTCCGTCCACTTCGACGTCACTAAAGTTATATTTGTCACCCAGTGCAAGTTGTGCACATATAATTTGTTTTGCGAATTTTTTTCCACCACGCCAAAGAGCACTACAAGTTTGTCTATTCGAATTAAAAGATGGACCCCCAAATGAGCTTATAGCCCAATAATGTAAATTTGCATTGTGCAGTTTCCAAGCCCCTTCTAAGTTGCCTACAGGAGGGCTTAGTTGAGCCAAGGGAAATCCGCAACTCCAACAGACTACGTAGATTTTGAGAATTTTTGACTGACTTGGCGTCCCAGAGATTACGAACATTTTAGATGTTGATGCTGCCTCTGTAGAAATTTTGAAGGTCTTGTCATTTAATAAGCCTAAAACCAGGAATATAAAATTTGGACTTTCTCCACAGTAATTTAAGTGCTTCCGGGTTTCTATGAGTTTATCCTTCTCGGAGTCTGTTTCAAGTTGTGGTTGAAGAATGAAGGAAATCTGGGTATTGGTGTGACCAAAATATTCGGAAAATATGAATTCATTACTTTCACAAGATGCGTAGTGTGGATTAACTTCAATGCTATGGGGGATTGGTCGATGATACAATACTCTTAGAAAGTATGGATTCTGTAGAAGTAAATTAAGAAATTCGGCTATCCAAAACTCGGACTGCTCTGTCTTAAAGTCGGAAATGATTTGTAGCGTTGATCCTGAAGGAAATAAATTGGCAATATTTTGAAAACTGAAGCATGACATTGACGTGAATGCAAGTACTAAAAGAAAGCTAAAGGCAAAAATATGTTTTGCCATATTGTACATAGAAAACACTTTAATGCAGATACATATTTAGTAACTACTGACCTAATATGAAAGTTTAAATGACTCAAATCCACACAAATAGTCACTTAGCTACGGATAAGATACACGAAGCAAAAGTTTTTCAATTGTCTTCGTCTACCTTGGTCAGTATGACGGCTGAGGTACAAAATCCATATAAATTATTTAGGAAATCAATACGTTTGACTCTTCTAACAACAACCATGCAAGCTACTGGATTTTAGCTGACATGCATTTCGGGCAAAATCGGAAAATTCTCTGGAGCTCCAACTATGCAGTCACGCAGCACGGACGTGTTGTTTAAAAGACAATTGTATGGCCAATGTTACAATATGGATGGAAAGAAATGTTAAGTGTTATTGATAACTAGGGTTGCCGCGGGTAGCGGGTCGGGTACCCGTTACCCGGCTACCCGCACCATTTTGCGGGTACCCGCTACCCGGCTACCCGCACCATTTTGCGGGTACCCACTACCCGGCGGGTAATGGGAACTACCCGCGCGGGTAAAGGGTATTTTAATTTTTGATAGGACCTGTCGAAATTTCGTAGTTAATAAACGATTTGCTAAATAAAGTTTTTTTGTTCAATTTTTGCCCTCATTATGATAGATATTTGCTTTTTTCAATTTAAGCGTAAACGAATGTATGCCTTGTATCTTGCTAAAGTCATAAGTGATGAACTTATTTAGTATTTCAAATGGGTAAAAATAAAAACAATCATTAAAGAAATATAAAACAAATAAACATATATATTATTTTATAATAAAATAAGGAAAGCATAAAAGACTTCATGAAAATTAAATTATCACAAACGATTAAAATTACGACTTATACATAGATAAATTATGTAAATATTTTCTCAATAACAGAAAATTTGAGTGCGGAGGCCACCCCCGTTTGTTTACTTGAATATTATGTTTTATTACTATAGGTTTATTATTTTATAATTTTAAGATTTTATGGTTCTGGGACTTTTAAATTTTGAGATTTAAATACTACAATTAATTTTAAAATTAGGCTTTCAGAGTTAAGTTATGCATTGTGATTCGATTTTGAGAGAGTGGTGTGGGAGTGATACTTCAATCAGGGGCTTGTTGCATAAAAATGACATTTTGACAGTTGACAGGGCGACAATTACAGGGCGACAATGACAATTAAATATTATGGTTGTTGCATATAAAATCCATTGACTATTTGACAAGTGCTGGACCTCTGTCAAACTTTGACAGGTACTTGTCAAAATTTTTCATAGCAACGTAAAAATTTGTGAAAAAAATAGCAAATTTTTGTGAGGTCATTCTCATCCGGCTCCTTCCATTTCTGCACACTTTTAACGTCAATTCCCCCAGTTTTTTTTACCAAATTATCGCTATAATTTGACTTGATTTTTCATTTTAAAATGAAAAAAATGAATTAACTAATTTTGCAGGTGGTGAGACAATGAAATACGTGATGGGGGAGTGAATAGGTGTTTTTGAGTTACATATAAATACGATCTTTAAATATTTGGGTACTTCAAGTACAGTGCACCGAACATCAAAAAAATGTGCCTAGCAAAGTAAAAAACTCCTTATCTACGTTAAAAATATTTCTATGCAAACGTTGAAAATGCCCCGTGCAAGGTTGTAAAAATTACCTTAGCACCGCAATATGGTCGACAGTTACTTCATGAAATTTTAAGTGTAACACCAAAAAACCAGTTTTATGTTGAAGGTGGGGAGTGTAATCTATAACTTGGAGTGAGTTTTGACCTCTTCCATATGATATCCGGTCAATAATAAACTGATATCCGAAAAAGGGCATTCGGTGTGTAAAACGCTTAGGTGTGTATCTGATGGTGTGCATCAAATTGTGTGTATCCGATGGTGTGTATCTGATTGTGTGTAATTTGCCGGACACCGGCATATGGGATAGCATTGTAAGATGTATAAAATCGGTTTTGTGAAACAACAAATAGATTATTCTTTTGATGCAAGGTGTTTTGTTTATGCATGTTTTGGATCACTGTAAATACACTCTCCCAAATCTGGTAGAGTCATATAGATACTCTGTGCTGGTATTGAATTGGTAATGATT